CAAGCTGGACATTCAAGTTCAAAGAGAATTACTCAATCTACTGGCATGTTTGATGTGCCACTTACACAGAAAGGCACTGTTAACCTCTGTTTCCTCATGGACATAAAAAATGCTTTAGGAGAGCGACCTTCCAATGCTGTATCTTTATGCATTCTTGCCCAACACCAGAGAAGTAAGAGGTCACTTGACTACTGTTTAGTTTGCTTTCAGCTGCCCAACATCAAAAGTTGGTGCTTTCTGCCCATCTTCCCTAATTTAGTTTCCAGGTCTCAGACTGGTCTCAAGGAACTTACAGCAACATTTCACTCCATCCAAATGACAGGATGTGCAGATATTAATAAGCACACAAGTTATAGCGAGTATTTTAGGTAACCTGCTGTGCCTTCACACTCCAGTGCTTTTCTATTACACCTTTAGAAAAAAAAATGTTTCTTTCCCTTGCTGGACACTAGCCTCTGCTCCTCTGGATTTTGTGAGGTGCTTCAAAGCAAATATGAAACCCGCTTCATGTGCTTCTTTGGCCAGAGTGACCCCCGTATGTTATTTTCCTATTGATTACTGGCCCATCTTACTGAAGTCTTAAGATTCTCCATTTCCTTACAAGTGAATAGCCAAGATGAAGTCTTCTCCCAAAAACATATCTGAATGCCATTTCTCCTCATCTCAAAGAATAACAAAAGGCCTCATTAAGTACAAGGGTCATTAAATAGCTCTAAAAGTTATGATACAGGACTGCTTGTACCATTTGAAGGTTAGTAAAATCCTGCTTTAGTGCTTGCCACCTTATCAAATCACCAAAAAGACACACAGTTTGGGGAATAATCTGAGGATTTCTTGCTCACGTAACAGCTTCCGTCTGGCGATATCATCAGAAACAAAATTACTATATATTAATGTTAGTACCAAACTAACTGAGAACTATGTCCAGGTAGAAGATACAGGGGCTCTTCACTTATACCAACATGAACAAAAACATTAATTTACTTGGTCTCCTATGTTTCTAAGGGAGAGGTCTCCTCCCTCCAGTTTGTTATATAAATTATTACTAAGACTGTAATATGGATTCAATACTAGTATTAACAGAGAGTATACAAAAGATGAGTACTCACAATATACTCACTGTTTGAATTTATTTGTCAGACAATCATGTCTACATACTGCCTCTCAGATAAGTTGAGCTTCTTATAATACTGGTTGGCAGAAAGTTTACAGGTAAGCTGTACTGGGAAGATGAGAAAGACAGGGCCCAACTCTGCCCTGGAGAAGGAAAAGAGGATAGAAAAGAGGCCTTTGCAGGGAAACCTGCATACCTGAAAGCTGGTGCACTGCTGATGAATTAGGCTCTTCTAGCAGACAAGCTGTGTGTTGCATGCATGAACTAGGCTGTTGTAAATACAGCCAGCCCCGCGTTAGAGAGCTTTATAAACTTTATGGAACTTTACAGCTACTTTTCACCAAAAGATATGGGCTTGCTGTGTATGCCAACCAGGCACTATTCAGATTTTAGAAATTAAAAATTCTTTATAATAATTAAAAAATATAAATTAAAAAAAACACAACGTGCTGCACTAAAAAGGAATGACAACAAACATACAATGCAAATCTATTTTAAATTAAGAAAAAAAAAAAACCACAAAGAGTGTAGTGACCTGCCATGTAACAAGTCAGGCCCCTACACGGACTGCACCCTCACCATTATCAAAAAAGAAAAGGCCCCAAGTAGCAGC